TCTGCCCCCTCTCATGCACCCCCCCTCACTGCCCGCCCCCTCTCTTCACACACAATTGAAACACTAACAACTTGCCCTAATCCTTTCTTCCTCGGCGAGCTTTGTAAGCAGGCCCACATCATAATTAAAAACGCATTTTCGACCTTCAGGCGCCAATACTTAATCTCCACACTCTCCTGGGGCAATGAGATTAACGCTTACAACAACGCTGAAAGAAACCCCATAATATGTAAACATGATATCACTGGATGATCTGTGTGAATGTGCTGGTTGGTATTGAACCATACAAAAGTTTCAGAACAAGAATAACATCATTTCCGCTTTGCCCACTGAGCAGTTAAGGTAAGCTTCTGACAGTTCTGTGAGCGTTTTATGTTGTTGTTGTTGTTGTTGTTGTTGCTGTTGCTGTTGGTGTTGTTGTTGTTGGTGGTGTTGTTTTTCTTCTTCTAGCGTGTGTGGTGTAATGTTTCTTTTCGAACGTGCATGGAATTTGAATGCGGAGTTGGAAAGATACCCTGATTATCAAGGACCTTAGAATACAATTTTTATAATCTCATTTTTGATCAACTATCTCCGTCTTTGTGCTGACCCCATCCCACTCCCACACACATCTGGTGGCCCTCGTGGGAAAAGGCGAAGCAGCTGGCCTGCTAAGCCTGGTGTTAATTGTGCCTCTGTTTGTATAAGCATTCAAGACTAATTAACTTCTAATCAGCTACGATTTATAAGGCGGTTTCATTCTTTTTCTAAATTATCTGTTTATATATTCACATATTTATCTCCTTTTTTATGCCTTTGTTGTTTTTCCATCCTTCTTTCCTTTCTTTTATTCATTCTTCCTTTTTTTCTTTCTTTCTGAATTTTCACTGCTTTTGTCTTACTTGCTTATTGATTAAAATTTTCTACCCAAGGGGGAGGTGGGGGTTGGGGTGGGGTGTGGGATGGGGGTGGGGGTGGGGGCAATAACTATTTTGTGAAATGATTGTGCCCCCTCCCCCCGCGCCTGAAACAGTATTGAAATTTTCATGACATACAAAATCGCACGAAAGAGACATTATTGCGCCCCTGTGTTGCGTCATTTAAGTAAGGTTCCATTGGTCGAAAATGGAATTGTTACAATTGTATTAACATGTGTATGCCAGAAAATGAATAACGAGAAGAAAATACACTTTCTTTTTCGTCTTAAATTTTTGGAATCAGACAGCTTCTGAATTTTTCTGTTTCTGTCTGTATTACCTGTATTGTCCTGGGCAACAATGTCATTGCACACCTGACAGGTCCATAAGTGCTCAGTTCCCCCAGCACCAAAGCCTGCAAGGTATCTAGTACTGATTGTTCCTATTTTTGACTGAATTTTCCTAAGCTACCTTAGATCAGGGGTGTGGCTGAAAGACAGCAGTAAGATGGAGCAAAGGCGTAGCAGTAAACGGGTTGCAGAAAGAGTCAGGAGCCCAGAAGAGGGGGTCAAAAGGGAGGGGGGGGGGTTGTGAAAGTGGAGACGAAAGCAGACGATAGAACATGGTTAGAGAGCAGGAAAGGAGGTGAAAGAAGATCATTAAAGAGATGAACATTTTCCGTCGGTGTCCGGTTTCGTAAGTTATACTTACATTTCTCCTACTTTCGGTTTGCTTTGAGCAGAATAATACATTTTATAATTTAAAAAAAAAACACACAAAAAACCGGTTCTGACAATAAGAAAAAAAGGAATACTGCTACGAGGTCTCCACGGGTGTGTTTTACAACTATAATGTCTTCGAATAGCACACGCATTGTCTTCATATTTCCTTCGTATCTTTAAAAGAATGATCAATTCTCTTTTGTAATCGTTTCAGGGATAGCAACGCACCGGAGAGACGATGGCTGCCATGAAGTCTCTACTTCTCCCACTGATCCTGGCTCTTTTATTTCCGGTGATAGAGGCTCAAACCGGGATTTTGTGCACATTTATTTTCCTCATTGAGCCCTTCTTCGGTAAGGTTTTCTTTCTTGTCTTTATGTCCGTGCCCACCCAATAAAGGACCGGCGTCTGTGGTGTAGTGGTTAGCCGCTTCGCTGTCGCACGCAGAAAACCCGAGTTCGATTCTCGTGTGGGGAGAAAATGTTGTCGAGTTTCTCGCGTCTTTACGCTGGGACCTTGTATCCCTGTAAGCCCACTATGTTGATCTTGACAGGCAAAGTCCTATACTATCTAACCTGAGATGATCAGGGCGAAAAACACTAACACGAAAACATAAAAAACCCAACAGCTGGTCGCTATTTGTTTGCGTAACAATTTGTATTTTGATGTTAATTTGCTTCGTACAGACGATTAGTACAAAGGGTTTTATGAGGATGATGTTAACGCTTAGAACTTTACACAGTAATGCATTAACACGTTCGCTGCTGCTGCTGCTGCTGCTGCTGCTGCTGCTGCTGCTGCTGCTGCTGCTGCTGCTGCTACTACTACTACTACTACTACTTTGTATTCGTCCATCCCTGTGTTTTAGGTGATTTCTTACGTTTAGGTAATTCCCCTTCCCCTCTTTTTTCTCCCACCACTCTGACGCTGACATAGCCTGCACTGGAGGAAGCAGCCCGGTTGCTACTTTCATAGACTTTGTGCAGTCTATTTTCTGTGCTAACTCCTGATTCAGGTAAGATAACAGGTTTTGCTTTAACATAATATTTTGAACTTCTCATTTTGTTTCACGGCTTCAAGGCCCTTAGTGAGTTGCGAGTAGTTCGAGGGTTCTAAGGGTAGGTCCTGCTTCTTTACTTTCCATCTATCTATCTATCTATCTATCTATCTATCTATCTATCTATCTATCTATCTATCTATCTATCTATCTATCTATCTATCTATCTATGTCTCTCGGTCTGTCTCTCTGTCTGCATCTATCTATCTATCTATCTATCTATCTATCTATCTATCTATCTATCTATCTATCTATCTATCTATCTATCTCTCTCTCTCTCTCTCTCTCTCTCTCTCTCTATATATATATATATATATTGTGTGTGTGTGTGTGTGTGTGTGTGTGTGTGTGTGTGTGTGTGTGTGTGTGTGTGTGTGTGTGTGTGTTGCGGCCCCCTTAGAGCGTCCATTTCCGGGTTGCTCTCTGTGGCGTGTCTTTTTTTCTAGTTTGCACACTGTTTTTCCACGTACCGTGCGTACTTTTCCGACCAACAGCGCTTATTATTTCTAGGCCTGAGCATTAATTATACGATTTCTCGGACACTTGAATAAACATACAGGCCTCGTATTGAACGTCTAGCTCTTACTTGCCAAATTCAAGGCAGACGAGGTAGGGGTAGACCCAGAGTAACTTACTTGGAAAGCCTAAATAGATGGGTGAGGCTGGGGTCAGAATAATGTAGCCTTTTTTTTTTTTTAGGGCATGCGAGCAAAAGAATGAATGGCGAATCGTAATCTCCGATGACTGCTGCAGATATTATGACACTTGATGAAGAAGATGACGACTAAAGCCTTCTAGGGATTTGGCTTTCTATAAAGTCACATGGCAAGCAATGTTATTCGTTATCACATCGGTTTTGTTTCGTTACCCTTTTGGACTTTTAAACAATCACTGATACGTCTTCGTCGCATGTCTTTTCGATGTGAGGATCAGACACCGTGCGCACACACAACGCACTCATAAACATACATTCATACAATCACGACCATACACTCGTAAGCACATTCGCACATTTTAAAATAGCGTAAAAATGTTGCCCAAAACTGTTTAAGTCGACAGATTTTAGCGGCATAGTATAGAGCTGATAAAACCTACTAGATCTAGATCTACATGTAGTCGTCTACTCAGGCGTACAACTTATTCGTTCCATCAAGCATTTCTAAGCGCGCAGCATAGACCTATAATTAGCCGAGACTGCGCACGGGCTACGCCAGCCCTCCCTTCCCAGCCAGCGCACTAGGGCAGACAGTA